GCTCTCTACCTCTTCCTACAAACGCAGAACCAGGAACCAGAGAAGACAAGGTCAATTTGAAGTATGCCATTTTATCATCCTAAAAGGAAACTCAAGTTAGGATCAGGATTTTCACTTTGGTCAGATTCACACATTTCTATGCTATCATGTTCTACTCCAGGATGGTATTTGATCAAATGCTACTGAACAATAATGCTGATGGGGTGAGAACTGCAACGGTAATATTAATTACTAATGTTTATACTATCTGCAGTGAATACAAGAATTCCCAATAAATAAAACAATGATTAATTACCCAGCTTTTGTGCTCTATGGCAAACAATGCATTTATGCATATGGAACAAGTTATGGTATACAAAATTGCTATAAACATTGCCCAGAAAAGATTACTTCACTATGGAAATTGTTTGGGAGTAGAAAAGATTACAGCCGGAGGGGATGTCTGAACGGTGCTCCAACCTGGCATGAGGACTTGAGTTTTTCCAAGTGGTTGAGTTTTCCAGTGGTTTTTCCAATACTTTGAACACTTACTGCCCCCAGAATAATCTACAAAGGTGTCACTGGAAAAGGGCATGTGGCAACAACATGCACACAGCAAAGTGACCTGATACAATATTCAATTCTGGCAGAACATCAGTCCACTGAATGTATTCTGCCATCAGCTAACATATTTAAAACACATTTAACCCTCTGCAGACAGAACAGACAGAAAGAACTAATGACTCCCTAACAATCTAGTTGGCAGATGAACAGTATCAAATGAAATAACTGTGTATGTAATTAAGTAACAAGATAGAAAATAAATGGTTGAGTACAGCGGCTGGGTTCTGCATTCATTCTGCACTGCCTCAACATGTGTGTTCGTCACAGAGAGGTCCAGCCAAATTACCTGGCCAGTAAGAAATGCTAGGATGTCTCCATCTCCTTCTGTCTGGTGAATTTTCACCACAGTATCCACAGTTGATTTGATATAATCTGGAACAGGACTGAAAAGACGTATGTGATAAAGTCATCACTAAACATGCTCGCTAATTACAAATCAATGGATTACCCTAGTAATCTGGCAGCAAAGCCTCAAGAAAGTTAGTCTGGACTTGCCCAGGAGTTAATTAGTACATGAATAAATGAAATAAATACTTTTTTTTTAAACTAAACACAGCATGTAAAAATAACCCATATTCACTGGCTAAAGTCTCTTTACGATCTAAATGATGTATAGTAGTTAAACGTATAAATAATAATTAAAATTAATAAATTAAAAAATTATTTAAAAAATAACCTGTATTATTTATGAACTATGATTTTTAACTTTCTTTTAAAAAAAAAAAAAGTATACCTATATAAAAAAATGTTCTACTTTAACATGCAAAGATGCCCCAGGCCAGTGAAAACTGGGGGGCTGTGGTCTCAATGCTAAATCCCACGTTTTCCCCTCCTGATTACTGCAGCATGTGTGGCCTAGGTGGACAGGGCTAATGGAGGTGCTCTCCAACTCGAATGACTCAGGAGACAAACCCACAGCTCTCTGTTTATTGCCTACACCAGGCTCTTGGTCTTTGCCCAGTGACTAAGTATCAGGATGGCCCTCTTCCTGACCAATAGGGCTCCTTCCACAAATCCAACCAGACCTTGCTAAGGATGTAGAGGCCTGGGGAACTAACGGTTCAGTTTACCAGTACTGCCCCTGTAGATGGGTGGCCTTCAAACCCCAGTTCTGAAAACTATCAAGCCCCCTCTTAGAACTTTTCACTACTTTGCTCTCTCCAACTGAGCTACTAGCCACAGATTCATGGAAACCTGCACATCAGTACCAAGAATTTAAACTATTAATAGACTGAGCAGAGTTCTAGAACATTCTATCAATACGAAAAACACAAAACATTCTCCTTATGAGTGTTACTGCAAACAGATGCAGCCTCCTGTCATTCCATATTAAAGGCCTAGTTTCTAAACACCATCATCAACAATCCAACAATCCAAGTATCACCAAACCTTTGTAGGTAAAAGATATCCACTGGAAATGTTCGCCCTTCCACTGTGAGGATCACACATGTATCCCTGGCTGGGTCGCTGGTTTCGTTCTGATTAAAGAAATCCCGAAATCTCTAATAAAAAAAAATTTTTTTTAATAAAGAAAAGGGTTTTATCCTCCAAAAAAATTAATAATAATTCATGGAAACAAAGGAAATAACATAAAAATGGCAGAAAAAAAGTAAACCATGGGGATTAGATATATGCATACAGATTGTGGTCTGTGAAATAACTTTTTTTTTGAGAGGTTTTTGCTATAGGGCGTGTATGCTCTCCAGAAAGATAGAGAGAGACAGAGAGATAGAAAGTGAGAAATCACCCCCCAGGGGGAATGGCCACGCCGCAATCCCTTCTCCTCCATTCTCCTCCTGGGATCTTGGGTATGCACGCACATACACCTGGCATGAGTTTAAGCCACCAGGTCCAGGACTCAAACCACGATCAGCTACATGGGAGTTCAGCGACATAGCCATTATACTAACTGCTGGTCCCTGAAATAATTTTTTTAATTCACATTTTTTTATTGAAATTGTGGGGAACCATATTTCAGTGATAGACTCTTCGTTAGAAAAGGTTTAACAAAAATAATAAAGGCTAGATTTCAAAACTGCACTCCGTAATACATCTTAGTTAACATGTGGTTATAGCATTATTTATCTTATTCCTATTCTCTGAATTTTATTTAACTAAAAATTAGGTCAAAAGGCCTAATTCAAGTTCAGTATAGGTTAAATCAACTCTAATCAGGAAAACATTGATCTGATCACACAGGGTTATTTATAATTTACAAAAGAAACTTTTACTTCTGTGAATAATAAGTATTGTTTCCGGCACCACAATTATTGATAAACATTTATATAACTTTCCCAGTAGATTTAAGGCCACTTGATGACAGAGACGGTGTCTTCTCCCCCTTTGTACACCCTCCAGAAGTGAGCACAATGCTTTGTACAGGGCAGGTTGTCAATCAAACACTTCTCCAACACTCCCCACAGTACCCTGTTGGAGAAGTGGTTCTTGGCGATTCATTGGAACTTGGCCTCCAGACTTGCAGTTTAGAGAGAGGCCAGGCCTGAGAACTCAAGTCCACCATGGGAAAATGAGATGTCACCACATATTGACTCTTAGAAAATATAAACCCAGACACCCAGAGAACTGAACCCGAGAAGAGCTGAGTGGCCAAACTGGCAGGTTAGTGATGAGAAGCTACCGGTGCCACCTGCTAAGGGGGTACAGATTACCTGTTTGAAGGAGTGTTCCCTTATTTGATTCTGAATGGCCTTCCCACTCGTATCCAGTTTCCCTGAAGGCTGGCTAAGTCACTGCAAGATCTGTCATTTTTATTTTCGCATGTGTCTTTACAGAACATCCCATCTCCGTTCCTAGAGACCCAGGAGCTACACTAATGAACAAATCAAAATGAACGGCTTGGAGGAATGCTTCTAACAGCATAAACTGAAGTTCACTATAAAATACTGAGAGGTGGGGTTGGCAGGTGGCATGGTGGTGAAAGGTGCTGGACTTCCCCATGGCTGACCGTGGTTTGAGTCCTGGACCCGGAGGCTCTCTTTCTCTCATCAAAATTGAAAAATAGTGACTGCCCCCCGCCACGAGTTCCAGCAGCTCCGGCGGCGGGAGGAGCGGTAGGGTTTATCTGCTCAACTCTGCAAAGGTTCTAGGCAAGTCGCGGCCTCATCAGGCACCCAGCACACACCCTGTCCGCAGCTAAGATGCCCAAGAGGAAGGTCAGCTCAGCCGAGGGGGCAGCCAAGGAAGAGGATAACTCTTCAGACAAGAGTGTAAACAAAAGGGAAAAGGGGAGCAAAGGGGAAACAGGCTGAAGTGGCCAATCGAGACACTAAAGAAGATTTACCTGCAGAAAATGGAGAAACTAAAAATGAGGAGGTCAGAAGTGGTTAGTTCACCCTCTGATGAAGCAGGTGAGAAAGAAGTCAAGTCTGAGTAAAATCATATACCATGTCTTGTCAATGGTCCCTGTCTCCCTTCTTGTACAATCCAGAGGAATATTTTTATCAACTATTTTGTAAATGCAAGTTTTTTAGTAGTTCTAGAAACATTTTTAAGAAGGAGAGACTCCCACCTCATCCCATTTTTTAAGTGTAAATGTTTTTTTTTAAGAGGTGAAATCATTTACTGGTTGTTTATTTTTCAGTACGACCAGAAAATAGTGGGATATTGACTCATAGGAGGCTTTGACTCTCTTGCGTGTCAGCTTAACATTCCATAGGTGGGGGCGGGTGGGTAGTTTTTATATCCTAAATACAAAGCATACTAAATGGCAGTTTGGAGTCACAGTCATGCATTTAATGTGTCTTGAATATTTTAAATGACTTCTATTATGTTTTTTAGTAGTATTGTTTCCTAAAGAAAACCACTCTTTGATTGTTGCTCTCCCTGTCAGAACTGTGTGCACTCTGTAACATCTTTGGTCGTGGTAGTCCAGTTTTCCTAATAATTCTGTTAATGTGCTGTGAAAGATTGGAAATTTGAAGTATGTAGTCTGTATGATACTAAATTGTGATTTGGTAGGACTTACATAACAGCTTTCAACTGAAGACAGTGGTTCTTGATATCCTCTTAAGGAAAATTTGCCTACAAATTTGAAGCTGGAATGTCACTGGAATAACTTAAAAAGAATCGCTAAACTTGGCTTTTTAAATTTTTGGTACGTATGTTAAGAATTGGGTACAAATTGAAATGTCTGTACTGGTCCTTGACACAACCAATAAATCTCAATTTAAAAAAAAATTGAAAAATAATGATAATAAATAAATATTTATTTTAAAAAAATACTGAGAGGCTACACACAACCTTCAAGTTGTTAGAGAAGAGTGAGCAGAGACAAAAACGGTGCCCCAGGCCAGCAAAAGAACAATGCTGTGCTAAGCGGAACTCATCCAACGTAACTCTGCTCTCCTTCTGGGCAAGCTCCCTTCAAGTCACCTCAGTCCTCCTCCGTCCCCATGATGTGCACAGCACAGGCACGCTGGAAGTGATGCACAAGCAAGTGAGAACACACTACCCACACCACAAAGGATTAAGTGCCCAGGAAAGGCAGCTGTGCAAAGAACCAATTATAAAAGAAAGCCTAGAGAAGAATGACTGTATCACCAGAAAAGAGCTATAAATTCCCATCTCAGAGAATGAAAGGTTAGTAATTACTATCTTTCTGGGAAGGCTTCATGGAGGTTGGCAGTATCCCTTGACTGCATCAGAGGGTGAGGAGGATTATTACTGGATAGGAAGGAAAAGAGACATCCCTTCCCAGGAGGAGAGCAGAGTGTGGACTACAATGTAAAGGAACCCTGGACAGATGAGAGCACCCACAGTCTACGGCAAGTCTGTCTCATTTCCGAATTAGCTCTCTTGGCTCCTAAATGGACAAATTCCTATCTACGCTACAAGGCTGATGTGAGGTTCAAGTGTGTGTGGCAGTCCTTAGCAGTCTCGCCTAGAACAGTTCTTAATAATGATACTAGTTATCAGGCTGAAAGAATCCATGCTGAGCTAGTATTTCACTTGCTGGCCAAGATGAGGGCTTGCATGCCCCAAATCCGGAGAGGAAAATGGAGAAGGGATTGTGGCATGGCCACAAGGGATGATTTCTCACTTAACCTCTCTCTCTATCTCTAGTAAGCACACGCCTCCTATGGCAAAAAATCTAGAAAACTGAACATAAAAAATAAATTAATTCAAGAAATATAGTCTCATATTGAACAAAAGCTGCTGCCTATATGTGGGGGAACAACAGTATGCAGAGAAACAAGACAAGTAGGTAATTATGTACCCCATTAATTACAAGCTAATTTCTGCCCACAACAGGAGAAGGAGTATCCTCTGATTACATGGAATCTAGGGCATCAGATGGCCCCATCTGCAGCCAGGCCATTCTGCCAAAAATAAGCTCCTGTTAGAGGTAACATCCCAAGGACAGGTCAGACGATTCCAGTATTTATGAGGAAGAAGAGAGATGGAAATGCTCTTACCTCTGCATCCAGAGTGGCTGAAGCCACAATTAAGCGAAGATCTCCTCGCTTTTTCTGAATCTAAAAAAAAAAGGTATTAGGGATCAATGAGAATAGTGCAATAATTATGGATGAAGTAATCTGATACTTGAAATTTACTTCAAAATAATCCAGTATGTAGACCCAGCAGTTAGTGTAATGGCTATGTTGCTGGACTCCCATGTAGTCAACCACGGTCCGAGTCCCGGACCCAGTGGCTTAAACTCACACCGGACACGTGTGCGTGCGTGCCCAAGATCCCAAAAGGAGAATGGAGAAGGGATTGCAGAGTGGCCATCCCCCCTGGGGGGGTGATTTCTCGCTTTCTGTGTCTCTGTCTCTCTCTGTCTTTCTGGTGAACGCATGCGCTCTACAGTAAAAACCTCTCCAAAAAAATAAATAAATAAAAAATCCAGTATGTGTATTGTGTGTATGTATATATGTGCGTGCACGCTCACCAATGAATCAAGACTGACCATAAAATAATTGATAGAGTCATAGGTAAAAGAGGATCATTACACTACTCTAATTCTGTAAATGTATGGAATTTTTCAAATTGAAAGCTAAAAGCAATTTTGTATAGGATGTGTAAAAGAGCATTAGGACTCAAATATGAATCTATTGAAAAAAAAAACATTTTTTCCCTTGACACCTGGGTCTTGAGATCATCTGAATTTGTGTGTATACAATGAAAGTATGAAAAAGTATATCAAAAGCAAACAAACAATAAATGATAATACCAAGACAGAAATATGGACAAAGTTAAAGAAACAGAAATCTAACAGATGTCTGTTACAGGAAGGATTTTTACTGCAACACTATTTAAAATATTTAAAATCTAGAAACCATATATTAATAAATGCCTAACAATAAAGGAAAAGTTAAATACCTTATGATAGAAACGTGCAATTAGATAGCCATTAAAAATAATGTCTTCCAAGAATATTTAATGAAACAGGGAAGTGATCTTGATGCAATGTTAAGGAAATATGCAAGATACAAATTAGCATATACAATCCAGACCCTGTTACGCCAAAATAGATGCATGTACAGATGCAAACAGACATATTCAGAAAACACAAACATTCCTCCAGTGATTTTCCCTTAATAGGTAGAATTATAGGCAATTTTTTTCCCTTTGTATTTTGTTAGCTTTTCCAAATTGCTACAAGCACTTTCCTTATCAGTCAACAAATCAAAAACACAAAAAAGAAAAAAAAAAAAAAAAACCATCAGGCAGTGACGCCATACCTTTTTTAGCAAGCCAATGGCAATGTCAGTGTACAAGGTCCTCTCATGGGCTTCATCCAGCATGATGACACTAAGAATCAGAGGGAAGCTCTCAGTGAGTATCTGTACAAACCACCCACGGAATCTCATCTAGACCCTCAAAGAGACTTCTGCATATTTAGCCCTCATGCAATCACTCGGTATCAAAAGAAAACCTACGTCATTCTTTGACAATGATGTAATTCTCAAGCTAATAAAAATGGAAACATCAAAATACTGTAGTGAAGAAAATGGTGTATTTATTGCTGTCTTTATAAACGGTGTAGTTATGGTTCTTTTTTACCCTCTATATTGGATTCCAACAGTATTTAATACCTGATTTTAAATGACAACATAATCTATGACCCCACAGAGTACATAAAAAATTGGAACAAGGCCCAACCACCCAAAGACTGGTAAGTTATAGAAACAGCCAGAGGCAGGTGATCACAGATGTGTCCCATGTGTACCAGGGACTCAAATGTGACATCCTTTCCCAGAACACCACAGAGCCTGGGTGGGATAACTTCAATGAGTGATAGGCAAAGGTACACAAGGAGGGAGAATGTGATTTGGACTCTATGCATTACATTCAGCAAAATACTACCCAATTAGGGACCCACAGGCAGTGTAATGGCTATGTCACTGGACTCCCATGTAGTCAATCGCAGTTTGAGTCCCAGATCTGCTAGCTTAAACTCATGCTGGGCAAGTATGCGTGCATGCCCAAGATCCCGAGAGGAGAAGGGATTGCGGCATGGCCTTCGCCCCTAGGGGGTGATTTCTTGCTTTCTGTTTCTGTCTCTCTCTGTCTTTATGGCAAACGTACACGCCCTATGGCAAAAACCTCTCTTAAAAAAAAAAAAAAAGCAATCAAAACACTACCCAAATAATTCTCTGCTCTGCTATGATTCTACAGACATCATCAATCCTGGGATGTGACAGAGGCAAGATAAAAAGGACAAGTCAACAGACAAAAGAATGATGGGGATTTATTTATTTATTTTTAGGCCAGAGAGCTGTGTACACACACAAGAAAGAGAAGGTGCCCCTTCCATGGGTGTTGATCATTCATACTACTCCGTCTCCCAACTCTGTCTTGTCAGGATCTGGGGCACTCCTATGTGGACAAGGAAGGTTTTTCAAGCTTATAGGGCAAGGACTTGCACTGTGATTAACCATGTGGAATCTGGGATCCTCTGTGTTATGCGGCTGGCCCAATAACAGGGATTTTAATGTGTTCATTTTTTTTGTCTATAAGAAGGCTTATTCTTGGCTGTAAGCTGACCACAGACATGACTCCCAGATATTAACACAGCTGCTGCTCAATCTGTTTCTGGACTTTGGAAACTAGGAGAGTTATTATAGGAAAAACAAACTTACCTATATTTTGTTAATAATGGATCGACCATCATTTCTCTGACCAGCATTCCATCAGTAAGAAACTAAAAAATTAAAACACAAAGTTTTAGAAATAATTCATTTACACTACATATATCTTTTAAGAATTATTTTATTTAACTTTTTATTTATTTACTTTTTATTTGATCAGAGAGGGAAAGTGAGTAAGAGAGAAAGTGAGAAAAAAAGCCGCCAGGTCCGGGTCTCAATTGCGGTCAGCCATGTGGGCAGTCCAGCATCTTCAACCACCACGCCACCTGCCAGCCCCTACACTAGGTACTAATGTGTTTTGTTTTGTTTTGTTTTTAAAAGTTCAAGTACAACTTTGTAAGGTTCAAGCACAACTTCTTTACCAAGCATGGGAACAGTCAAATCCCACAAAGAACAGTGAAGAAATGTTGGAACTGTTCACAAAAACTTCCAACATGAAATCTTTGGCTGGAGTTGTAAATCTTATAGCAGAATTTCACTTGCATTTATTATACGAACATTAGCTAAGCCCCACTTCCGCTGGGACTGAAACTGTTTATGAGCAGGCAGTGAAGACAAGTATGTGTCTGCCCAAGGGAACAGTGTGAGTCTGAGATAATTCTCCTTAAAATGTCCCAAAGGCAGTGTCCTGGTTAAGAAGATGGACTATGGTGTCACACTGCTGGGGGTTCAGATCTCTATCTCTTACCAGCTGTGTGAACCTTGGGCAAGTTACTGACCCTCTCTGAGCCTGATTCCTCATATGGAAAATGAGTTGATAAAAGTATGTACTTCACAGGATTAGTGTAAAATAGTACATGTAAAGAATCTAGCACATAGAACATCAGCTATTATTATTTAGGATTAATGAATGCTCCTAAACTGTTTCAGAAATACACAATAACTACAGTAAATATTGTTACTCTCACCTAAAAACAACTGTATGTTTAAAAAAACTATCTCCCTCATGTACTATCTTAGTAGCTTTACTTTCTATGTGTTTTTTGTTTGTTTGTTTGTTTGTTTTGTTTTTGTTTTTTAAGAGCAGGATGCAGGACCAGCAGTTGACGTAATGGCTATGTCGCTGGACTCCCATGTAGTCAACCACGGTTCAAGTCCCGGACCTGGTGGCTTAAACTCGTGCCAGGCGTGTGTGCATGCGTGCCCAAGATCCTGAGAGGAGAATGAAGGAGAGGGGATTGCAGTGTGGCCATCCCCCCTGGTGGGTGATTTCTCACTTTCTGTCTCTCTGTCTCTCTCTTTCTTGCGAGCGCACGCACCCTAGAACAAAAATCTCTCTCAAAAAAAAAAAGACCAGGATGTATATACATATTTTTCTTGGATCCGGTATCAGTAGCCACATACACGCACAGGAGTAAAAGTGAGAACTTGCACCAGTGACAAGCCACCACTTAAGAACTCTGTACCTTGAAATTGTGACCAAATGAAATGCAAAAGCTCTTCATGAAAGATTCAAAAGAATCATTTAATTACATAATCCACTGAAAATCAGTTAGTTAAATATCTTTGACAATAGAAAAGAATATTCCCTTTACCTAACAAAATGAATGTCAAAGGTAACAAAATACAAAAAATTGGAAAACAAGGTCCATGTTTTTATAAATCACTTCCTTGTTCATTCAGCTCATCTGATTATTCTTAAACTTCCTCCATTGTAAACTAAGAGCTAATTCAGATTCTAATAATCAATTTTCATTTCATCAGAGCATTTTCATTCATTGTTTCACTCCACTGATTAAACATTGATTCCAGCATAACAGTACATACAACACTCTACGAGCTGATTATTCACTAATAACTATTTATACTGATTATTTTAATATTAGCGGTAAGGTTAAGAAACACATATATAAAATCATTAGAATAGAAAAATGAGAAAGTTCTAACTAGTATAAACAAAAATAATGTCATACTTTATCTACTTACACTACTCTGTCTCCATTTTTAAGCCTTTTACAGGCTGGTTTCTATATTTAGACACTATATGAGTCATGGAAAAACAATAAAACACAGAGAAGGCAGACAGTTCCAGTCCAGTTTACCACCTATGGGCACAGAGCATCAGGCAAGTCATTCATTCAACCTTCCAGGCCCTCATCATCTCCATTCTCTGTAACCCTGAAGGCTAAGCCTTACTTTCAGGGTCCTTTCTGGGCTGAGGTTAAAGGACATTCTGAAAGAGCTCTATACCTCCAGCAGACTGAAGTCACTGAGGACCAGGAAGACTCCTGACACCTTTCTGCCATGCAGTCACTGCCTTATACAGCAGTGAGAGCTGCATATTTTTCATTCCCCCAAGATAATCTTCTCCTTATTTACACCAGGAAAGGCTTGAGCACTTCACCTTAATTCTTGTCGCCAGCGGGTCGGTGCAGTCATCAAAGCGGATGCAGTAGCCCACCTCGTGGCCCAGCACTGCACCCCTTTCCTCAGCTACTCTGCCTGCAACCTTTGGGAAGAAAGATCATGCTGAAAATAGAGACAGAAATTACTGCACAGAGCACATACTACAGGAAAACTAAAGGTCATCGTTTTTTAAATAGTAGGTGAGCAAAGTGGAAAATGAGAAGAAAAGGGACAGATTAATGGAGAATAAGCATGATATATTCTGCAATTTATTAACTTACAGATTTACATATTTCACTTCATTTTATGACAGTGTTGGAACAACTTATATAAATATACACGATACAAATGAAATTACCGAAAGACGTTACAGACCAAGATCAAAGAAATTACAAATAAAATTCAAAGATCAAAGCTGAGGAGAAAATTGAAAAAACATAGAAATGCCAAAGTTATTTTAAGTTGAGCCACAAATTCAGCTCTAAATGTGGTGGCCAAAGTGAAAAGAGAAGAAGTGAGAAGATTCACCCCACTCCTAAAGAAAGACCATGCCAACCACAGACAGTTTTTTTATGTCCCCAAGACTTCAAATACTTTCCACTGGACCATAAAGCAGGAGACTAGAAATTATCAAATTCAATACCAGGCCAAGTTTATCTTCTCTTTGAAAGCAAAAAGGATAGTTTCAAGAGCCAGATACCTAAAACAACTGAACAGCTTCCAACACAATCGAAAAGGTAAATGATAAGAACACAGGATAAAAGGGCGAGCACAGGCAAGCTGAGTAGATAAAAATATTAATTTAACTTTATTCATTGCCATTATTTATATCTTTTTTTTCTTTCTGTTTTTGGAGAGGTTTTTGCTACAGGGCGCGTGCACTCGCCAGACAGACAGAGAGAGACAGAGAGACAGAAACTGAGAAATCACCCCCCAGGAGGGATGGCCATTCCACAATCCCTTCTCCTCCGTTCTCTTCTCAGGATCTTGGGCACGCACGTACACGCGCCCGGCGTGAGTTTAAGCCACCGGGTCTGAGACTCAAACTGCAGTCGACTACGTGGGAGTCTAGCAACATAGCCATTATGCTAACTGCTGGTCCCTACTTTATATCTTATTTTTGAAGTTGAGAGAGAGAGAAGGAAAGTGAGAAAACAAGCTGCCAGGTCCAGGACTTGAAACATGATCAGCCATGTGGGAGTTAGCCGCCTCAATCACCATGCCACCTGCTGGCCCCGAGTGAAAATACTAATAAAGGACCCAAGTGAAAACAAAGTGAAGGTAGAAAACAAAATAAATTCAAAGGGTTTTCAAAAAGTTCATGGATCGTGTGTATTAATGAAAACCTATACATATAGACTGTAAACATTTTTTGGCTCCAAAATAAACTCATACTTTAATTCCATTTCTCTACAAACTTTCTGAAGTCCCATCAGAATATACTATAAAGACCATAAATTATAGATAAAATTTCACCCACCAATATATGACAAATAAAAGGAGATTTAAAAAAGAATCCAACTCCTAAGATCCCTAAACCCCTCCAAAGTAGGGTACTCAAAGGTTAATTTATTAATAGAAAATAATAGAAATAATAAACATAAAACAAAAAAGCAGTAATGCTAATCACTTAGTTTAACTTAAAAAGTACAAAGAGTTTAAGATCCACTACCTAAAGTACCTAACTGAGAAGAACAAAGGAACCTGTGTGAGGCAGGCATTTAGTCTCCCACTTCCACAGATAAGACAAGCCAGTCCTCCCCAAGTTCCCCAGTCCTGAGTTTGGAATATAACTGCCCAGGAGCTGCCCTGCGGCAGAGCTTGCTGACAATCCAGGCTCAAGCGCACTGAGGCTCCCCGCACTCTGCCCTGCAAGCCAACCACACACCAGGGCGTTATCCACTCATCTGTGTTTGAGAAACTGAAGAGCAGATGAGGATCAAAGTGGCTCTGCCTACTGATTGAAATGACTGATCTGGGAGGCCAAGGCAAACTCAATCATCAAGCAGCTGGTCTACACCACAGTATCTTTCAAAACACCTTATGAAACCAGAAATTCAATCCTACTCGTCTCTACCTCTGGAGGCTGCGTTTCCCAATAACCAGCATTTCACCAGGACAGTTTCATTATTGTTATTGTCTCAACTTCAACCATACACATGGTTATATTTTAAATCTCAGAAAACAGTACAAATAGGGAACGTGTGCACAGAGATATTGAGAGCTTATGGCAGAAACAGGCTTTAAAGAATGAGAATAAATGAGCCGATCACTCCATTAAAATGTAATCATTTTAAGGAACTTAAGGTAAAACTAAACTTCCTTATTCTTATTATTTCACTATTTATAAGCATTTGCTATAAAAAAGTATACTTGTTTTCAAACCCTTTTTTCTTTTTATCATTTAAAGCCACACAAGATCACATTCTAAAGCTTTTTTAATAGTTCTACCTCTATTGTTTAGATTCTGTTCTCCATAACCTTATTAATTGGACTAGAAAAATATTATCTTTTTGGCAGACCAAATGCATATGTCCATATGAAAGGTGGGAGGAGGAGGGTCGGAAGCAAAGCAATCATGGAGCACCAGCTATGGGACAAATGTTATGCTCTATACTTCCACAAACTCTATCTTATTAAATAGGCACACAGTCCAAGATGTGAGCAAGATAAAGACACCCTCCTTTTAATTTATTTTTTAAAGAATGATTAACATTATTTATCATTATGATTATTTTTTATTTTTAAATTATTTATTTATTTTTATCATTATTTGTTTTGTTTTGTTTTGCTTCAGGGCTTGTGTGCTCACCAGAGAAAGACAGAGGGAGAAAAACAGAGAGAGAGAGAGAAAGTGAAAAGCAAAGCCACCAGGTCCAGGACTCGAACCTCAGTCAGCCACATGGGAGTCCAGCTCCTTAACCACCATGCCATGTGCTGGCCCCTCATTGTAATTATTTTTTTATTTGCTACAGAGCACGTAGGCTCACCAGGGACAGACAAAGAAAGAGACAGACGGGGATGAGGAAGTGAGAAAGCAGGTCGTCAGGTCTGGGACTCAAACTATGGTTAGTCATGTGGGAGTACAACACTTTAACCACCATGCCGCTTGCTGGCCCCCGATACCCTCCTTTTTACATATGGAAATAAAACAGGCACTAGAACTTATTTCTGAATCACAGGTCAAGGAGGACCTGGTTTTAAAGTCAATCTCAGATCCTAGGAGGCGGACAAATATGCTCATGACTAGCTACCTCTCAGGGAGATCAAGCACTGGCTTGTACAATCTGTTCTGAGGCTCTGAGTTGTTTTCAGATTTTAGTCTGCACACGAAGTACTTTTGGAAATGTAGCATTTCAAACTTGACAGATCTATTAATACTACACGGTTAATATATACAGTTTGTTCTTTCAAGAGAAAGCTTACGTTTCATGGAAGTTATCCATAGCTACAAATTTGGAGTGAAAATGCAAACTAATTAAGAACTGGGATTCTAAACCACAAATGAAAACATTGCTTTAATTTTTAAGTGACTGCATCATCTGTCAGTGACAGAAAAGTTAACTCTACTTTGCAGCATAGTTTCAAAACAATTATCTCCACTTCTACACACACACACACACACACACACACACACATAGCAAAATGTTTACCGATACTTTCTAACTTCAAGACCATTAGAAAATCAACTTTGGGGACCAGCAGTTAGCGTAATGGCTAAGTCGCTGGACTCCCACATAGTTGACCGCAGTTCGCGTCCCAGACCCGGTGGCTTAAACTCACGCCGGGCCTGTGTGCATACGTGCCCGAGATCCCGAGGGGAGAATGGAGGAGAAGGGATTGCGGCGTGGCCATCCCCCCGGGGGGTGATTTCGCGCTTTCTCGCTTTCTGTCTCTCTGTCTCTCTCTGTCTGTCTGGCGAGTGCATGCGTCCTATAGCAAAAACCTCTCCAAAAAAAAAAAAAAAACACCTCATTGTCACAAGAAGGGGATAGCTATACGCCTAACCAACAAAGCAGGAAGCACAACTGCCAAACACTGCAAGGTCTGAGTCTAGAATGGAGGTCAGGCCACCCCACAACCAGGGCAGACTACTGGCTGGCTTCCTTACTGTCAGTGCAACCACCCTAAAAGGGAGGGCCAACAGTCTTTAGGATCGGAAATACAAGTGGTGCTTTGGCCAAGAAACATAGGAAATGTCACAGAAGGGGCCCACATTGACAGCAAAGAATCACAGGAACAGCGTTAGAAGGCAGCATGCAGGTGGGAAGCAAGTATCAAATTCCAAATCAGGCATTCCTAAGAAGTTTACACTGAGCCTTAGAGACGTCTCATGTCACTGAGGAGTGCACCATGAGATACTTACCCTCATCCCCACCCAGCAAAGGAGGGTAAGAGCACTGGGGAGAGGCCATGCATCATTCAGATTTGCACCACCTCAGAATTCTGCAGCAGTAGGCAGCACCCTTCAAAGATGAGTAATTATCACAAAAGGACAAACACAAGCATGAGGCTCCGTGGTACAGCAGCAGGAACCAGCTGCTCAAGAGAAGCCAGACCCCACATGGCGACCATGCCAGTGATTCTGGCTGCCTGGAAGACTGGGGAGGGTCACAAGTGAGACCCTGTGAGGAGTCCCTGTCTCTCAGCTCTCTCACATGAAAAAAAAGTAAAAAATTACTGAACGATGAAATGTAGCCAATCAAGAAATAAGAAGAAATGAACATTGTGGAGTTGGCGAACACAGTTAGTTGTGGGCAGTCAATCTACTTAAACTAAAATAAAGGTTAGACACCTGCAGGAATTATGATTAAGAATGTATGTTATTGGGACCAGCAGTTAGCATAATGACTATGTCACTGGACTCCCATGTAGTCGACTGTGGTTTGAGTCCTGGACCTGGCAGCTTAAACTCACGCCAAGCACGTATGTGTACACGCCCAAGATCCCAAGAGGAGAATGGAGAAGGGATTGTGGTGTGGCCATCCCTCCGGAGAATGATTTCTCACTTTCTGTCTCTGTCTCTCTCTGTCTTTCTGGTGAGCACATGCGCCCCAATAGCAAAAACCTCTCTCCACCCCCCCAAAAAAAAGAGAATGTATATGTTATTAATCTTGAAATGAAAATGATAGTATTCTATCTACAACAAATGGAAGGAAGGAACAGAAAAACAGAATACATATGCAAATTTTTTCTTAAATAACAGGACCCTGAGACCAGCAGATGGCATAATGGCTACACCACTGCTCTCCAAAATAGTCGACTGCAGTTTGAGTCCTGGACCTGGTGGCTTAAACTCACACCAGACGTATGTGCATGCGTGCCCAAGATCCCAAGAGGAGAATGGAAGAAAAGAGATTGTGGTGTGGCCACCCCCGGGGGGGGGGGGATTTCTCGCTTTCTGTCTCTCTGTCTCTCTCTCTTCCTGGCAAGTGCATACACCCTATAGCCAAAAAGTCTCCCCCGAAAAAATAAATAAATAACAAAAATAACAGGACCCCATAACATAGAGTTTGATAAATACTGGGTCACCAGGAAAAGCCATGATGTGTTTTTCTACGCAAAATGTGTCATGACTTTCCCGACAAGCCAGTAAATAACATTCTGAAATTTTTCATAATCTTTTAAAATAAATTCTCTATGGTGAATGAATATTTATCCAAAGTTCAATAACTACTCCTATTTCATTTGTTTCCTCTTTCACTAAATTCAACAAAAGCAAGTGTATGGTTATGGTCCCATGTTTATAAAAATATTTCTATCCAGCCTATCACCCACTCATCTTCAAGAGAAGCCTGGAAAGATGTCCATAAAAGTTTGCAATGTTTTGGCTGAGTGGTGAGTGATTTGGGGATTTTTAAAACCATTTGTTTTGTTTTTATTTCCACAGTACTGCATTCCTTAAAATGTTCATAATGTATAAGCATCAGTTTTACAAAAATATTCAAAGCATAGTTCTTTTTGAAATGAGGAACTACATTTTTAAGGAGAGATTTTCATTCATTTGGAGCTTTGGGAAATAAGAAAGAAAAGAAAAAAGTCAAGGAAATAGAAGATTCAGATAGAGTCTTTGCAATACAAAATGAAACTCACCGTGACAGCCGCCACTCTCCGAGGCTGGGTCACTCCAACCACTCTCCCCTCGGCTGTCCAGCCAGCTTCTGCAAGGTACTACCGACAAAATCCCATCTCAGTCTTTGTCCGACACACTTTGCCAGAAACATTCACCCTTCCCCCCATGACCCTGCGCTGTATTAAAATTACCGATAGTCCTCGTCCCAGCAGAACTCTGGAAATTAATTCACAAATGAGAGATCCAACGCTTACACACGTTAAGGTAATTTGCTTAAGTTCACATCAAAGCAAGTAAGAAAAACTAACAAAAGAAGTAAGTCACAAATTCAGCATTATGACTTCCTAGACTTACAAAACTACAGATGTCTCAAGGAACAAAAAATGATCACTGGGTCATGCAGAACAGTGCAAAATATATAGTACACAAGAACAGCTCAATATAAATAGCAACCATGAAATGCATTTTGGTCCAATTAAATTTAAAAATTAGATAGATTTATCGACACGACTATATGTCAACAGACTGTATTAGCAGACATAAAATTTAATTAAATGCCTTTATTCGGTGTATTTATGAATGTATTTGATATGTGTGTGTTTATTTGATTATATACACTTGAATCCAACATAGATAACAGTGATTATCTAGATATATATTTTCATGTCTAATTGTTTTACGATAAATATATATTACTTTTATGATAGTGAAAAAAAATTACAAATGTTATTGCATGCATCTGCTCGTTTATTCCAAAGAAATAAAGGAAGCATAAACCAGAAACTACAGACAAGGATCATCTATAGGAAGTGGGTGGGAAACAGGAGCAAAGAGGAGGAAATGGAAACCGGGTAACAAGAACAAAGAGTGAGAAGCGATGATCTTAATAGATCTTTTTGTGTAGCTCTGGCTCCTGGAACCACAGCCACATTTCACATACTCTTCAAATACGTAGCTAAAAAACCCAAACAGGATGTAGAGGGAAACCAAAAAGAAATAAAAACACTAACAGATAAACCTTTCTGGATTTCAAATGAGTAATATAACGACACTCTAGGCAGTGAAGAAAACAAGAATTAACCTAATTAACCTCAGAAACACCATCTTGACTGGATGCTATAAAGCTAAAGACAAAAAGAACTCCATAAACATGTCATCTAATTAGTAAATACTCAAGCAGCGGTATGGGATAGCCATTCTCAAACTATTCTACATGTATACTAGAACTTAGCGAACAGGTAAACATATGGTAGATAGTGAGGACTTGGTGACTCACGGTTACAAAAAAGAAAGGCTAAAACAAGCCCTATGGGGACCAGTAAATGGTGTAATGGTTACATCACTGGACTCCCATGTAATCGACCATGGTTTGAGTCCCAGACCTGGCAGCTTAAAACTCATGTTGGATGCGTGTCACCCATGTGGGAGTCCAGCACCTTAACCACCATGCCACCTGCTGGTCCCCCACATTAACTTTTAATTCCTAGAAAAAAATTAATATCTATGAATCCATATTGGCATAAATAATCTAATAAATAAATAAATAAATGAGAAAGGACAGTTCTTCCTCAAAGAAGAATCAACTTAATAAAGGTAGAAATAAAGAGGAAAAGAAAAAAATCATCACTAGGAGGTGGCATGGTGCTTCAGGGCACTGGACTCCCACATGGTTGACCATGGTTTGAGTCTCAGACCTAGTGGCTTGTTCTCTCGCTTTCTTTCTCACTCACTCTTGCTCTGTCCCTCTATGGTCAAATTAAAATTAAAAATAAATAAAGTTAAAATAATTCTTTAAAAAAATAATCATAACTAGGCAAATACCCAAGTAACTGCTACAGACAACATTCACTGACAGTACTAAAATAGTAGGTGACAGTTGAAGGGAAGCAGAGTATCTAGTCTGAAAGACATTTAACCACTACAAAGAGGAAAAGATGTCCAAGCAAAACCTGGCAGCTTAACCAAATGACCAAGGTAAGCATCACCAATAACAAGACATATCAACTTCACAAAGCCCTTGATACGAAGCACTCAGGACATGAAACCTCTGGATTCTTGCCAAAATGCATGACTTCCTCCTACTCATGAGAAAACATGACATGAGTCCAAACTGAGGGACAGACTACAAAATCAATGCCCAGTATTCTTGAAAAGTGTCAAGGACACAGAAGATGAGGAAAGACTGAGGAATTCTAAAAGACCAGAGGAGGCTTCTGAAAAACAACAACTAAATACACGGCCAGATCTTGGAACTAATAAAGAACATAGCTGGGAAAACCAATGAGATTAAAATATGATTTGCAGGCCAGTGACTAGCATTACATCAATACTAATGTCCTGCTTTTTCTTATGGTTTAGAAGAAGTAGTATGAGGAGTATAAATGAACTCTCTATGGCCTTTTGCAACTTTCCTGCTGGTCTAAAATTAGTTAAAAGTAAAGTTTTTTTGTGTGTTTTTTTTGGAGAGGTGTTTTTTGGGTTTTTTGTTTGTTTGTTTGTTTGTTTTTTTAAGCTATAGGACACTTGCGCTCGCCAGAAAGACAGAGAGAGACAGACAGACAGAAAGCGAGAAATCACTCCCCAGGGGGATGGCCACGCCGCAATCCCTTCTCCTCCATTCTCCTCTTGGAATCTTGAGCACGCACGCAAACATGCCCGGCTTGAGTTTAAGCCACTAGGTCTGGGACTCGAACCGAGGTCGACTACATGGGAGTCCAGCAACATAGCCATTACGCTAACTGCTGGTCCCAAAAGTAAGGTTTTTAAAGAATGATTGAAAAAAGCAAAATGTTGTAGGATATGTTTGGATTTTACTAAAAAAAAAAAAAAAAAAAAAAAAAAAAAGCTATGAAGTTTCTCCCCCATGTATTAAGTATATACACAAAATATTATTCATTCATGTTAGTATTAATATTAAATATACACACAAAAAATAACAACCAGCCCAATGAAGACAAAGACAAAAACAGACCTACAAGAATAACAGCTAAGGGACCAGCAGTTAGCATAATGGCTATGTCACTGGACTCCCACGTAGTCAACCACGGTTTGAGTCCCAGACCCAGTGGTTTAAACTCACGCCGGGTGCATGTGCGTGTGTGCCCAAGATCCCGAGAGGAGAATGGAGGAGAAGGGATTGCGGTGTGGCCATTGCCCCGAGGGGGGGGTTTCTCGTTTTCTGTCTCTCTGTCTCTCTCTGCCTTTCTGGCAAGCGCATGCACCCTATAGCAAAAACCTCTCAAAAAAAAGAAAAAAGAATAACAGCTATGAGCCAACAGGTGGCACGGTGGTTAAGGTACTGGATTCTCACCTGGTGGACCATGGTTCAAGTCCAGACCTAGCAGCTTGACAATCACATTGGTCACATGTGCATGCCCAAAATCCTGAGAAGATAATGGAGGAGAAGGGATTGTGGCATGGATATCCCCACTAGGGGATGATTTTTCACTTTCCCCCTCTGTCTCTCTCTAGCAAGTACACACACCCTATGAAAAAAACTTTAAATAAATAAAAATTTAAAAGAAATTATTAAATATTTAGGGGAAAAAAAATAGAGTAACAGCTAAGATTCTCCTGACTACTTCGCTAAGCACCAGGAACTGTACTGAGTGACTTACATGCATAACCCCACTTAATCCTCACAACAGCTCCTATAGGGAAGGTAATACGCTCATCAACAATGAAAAGATGAGGAAACAGAAAGGTCACAATAACTTGTCCAAGGAAAAAGATAAAAATAAAAGAGCTGGAATTCAAGCTCAGCAAACCAAAGCCCTGACACATACCAAGGCACAATTCTACCATCCAAATTAAAACACACATACATGTAGCCAATCTCTCAGCAGTAAAAGGGGACTTCAAAATAGTCACAGAAAATGGAATTAAATCAGAATTTTACTTTGTGGTGGTAAAAGGTTTTGAAATCCATGCTAGTTTTTTCATAATATGCATTTTTCACAACCTTTTGAAGACTCTCCTCATAGTGTTAAACAAAAGAAAAATAATTTCCACAAATGTAAACAACCTGTCCATGAAGCTAGTCCCCTCAGTACACACATGATCTGATGTGTACTTAATGCTTATGACTGCTGAGATGTGAACATGGAGAGACTGCGGAAGCAGGGACAGTGCTGGGTATTACAGAAGCTCACTGAACTACAGGCTGAATTCCATCTCAGTTCTCTACCTTTTTTCCTTTATTCATGATAAAGCACATGTACATGAGTGAGAGCCAAGTACCCTTTAGAGGGTCTGGTCATGCCAAATTCTTTTCATCCGGTACTCCAGCCTTTCACATGCCCACCGTGTATCCAGCTGACCTGGCCAGGGATCTGAACCATGGTTGCTAAGTAGGATCCGGCTTCTAGTGATCAGCACATACCACTGTGCCACGAAGCTGACTTTCTATTCTCTTTATGAATCGCCGACTCTAGTCTTCTAGTTGAAGGATAAAATTAGGAAGAATTCCACTAACAGCTATACTAATAAAAATTGTAGTTAGAACTTATTTCCACAGTCCATTACTCCAGTTACAAGTATCATCAGGATCCCACATATATTGGGTCGTTGAAAAACTCATGACACATTTTTGCATAAAGAAACATAGAAAACTACAGTATGATTTTCCCAACAACCTAAAAGTTTTGGGCATTTCAAAACTAGAAAGTGTTCTGGTGTTTCGGCATGCTGTACTATACCGAGGAAAGATAGTACATAAAACTGGCAAAACAATTACTGAGAAGACCCTGCTCTACATCCTTGCTATAACCTTCAGTTTCTCCAGCCTTCACAATTTTTGCAGGCCATAACAAAAATTAACACAGTAAGTTCGAACAGTGACTTTCAGACAAGGGAAACTAAAGTGCTAGGGAAAAGGGAAGATTCTTCCACAGGAAGGTAACTGATATTTAGAGCAATAATACAGTATCACAGTGATCTAGCTGTTTACTTTTCTTTTTAAAAAAGTATTTCTTTGATGAAAATTAGAGACAGAGAGAAAAAGACAAGCACCCTCAACAGGGCCTCACATCACACGCCACCCCCCATGGGGTGTGGTCACACCACAATCCCTTCTGTTCCATCTCTACATCCTGCTGGGATTTGAAGCACTGGCGTGTTTCTCAAGTCAGGGTTGGAATTTGAACTGTGCAGCTGGCCATGTGGGATTCCGCTCCTTTAACCACTAGGCCACAGGGCCAGCCCCCAAAAATATTAAAATCTTTTAATTAAAGAGGGAAAAAGTCTACCTTCATTTGCTGTCACATTACCCAGCCTGGATCCTCAGCCCCTACTCTTCTTTGTCACCTCCTGTGGGAAGTATTATATTCACTGTCACCCTTTGCTGTCAGGCCAGGCCAGATAACTTCCTTTGACTAATAGGAGAAGAGCCACATCTGGCCAGAAGTTTTAAGCAACACCTCATGATTCTGCCACTCCCTCCAAGGTCAAAATTCCCACGTAACAGACGCACTGACTGCTTCAGTCCCAGTAATGACATGGAGCAGCCCCAAAGCCAATGCAAGATGACCACACAGTATGAGCAAAAAGCAAACCTTTGTGTTTTTAAGCTGTGGAGATTTTCAGGTTCTTTGTTAACATAACATAGTTTATCCTAAGCTGACTAAATAACCAGTCTAATTACAAAACAAACTAAAATGATCAACTATCATGTGGCCTTTCACCTCTGTTCTATATTCCTAGACCTTACTATTTATTCTCTACAGTGTCATCACCTGTAAAATACAGTTAACAGGGCCCACCTCTTAGTCATTACAATTAAACAGATTGGGACCAGTAGGTGGCATGGAGGTTAAGGTAGCTGGAGCCCACACGCACAGCTTCATGACTGGAGTCCCAGACCCAACAGTTTGAAAAACATGCCAGGTACATGTGCATGTCCCCCAAATCCCTAGAAAATGGAAAAAGAAGGGACTGTAGCATGGTCAAACCCCCTGGGGAGTGACTTCACACTTTCACTTTCTCTCTCTCTCTCTCTCTCTCTCTTTCTCTCAAGTGCACATGCTTTATAGCAAAACTAAAACTAAAAAAAAAAAGTTAAATAGATCAATGTGTGTAGGGTGCTCACTCTATGTAGTGCTTATTATTACTATATCATAATAGTTACTTGTCATATTGTTATTATGACATTACTCTCCAACTTCTAATCATTAAGTGATTGACTTGGCCCTCTCCTGTGTCTCTGTGTAAAGAAACAAGAAACTGAGACCAGGAGATGGCGTAATGGTTACTTCACTGGACTCCCATGTGGTCGACTGCAGTTCGAGTCCCAGACTCAGCAGCTTAAAACGCGTGCCAGGCATATGTGCAAATAAGCCCAAGATCCCAAGAGAAGAATAGAGGAGAAGGGATTGCAGTGTGGCCATCCCCCCTGCAGAGCGATTTCTTGCATTCTGTCTCTCAGTCTTTCTGGTGAGCGCACACGTTCAATAACAAAAACACCTCAAAAAAAAAAAAAAAAAAAGACCAGACACGTTCATCAAGAATGTACACAGCAGCGCAACTCATGACTTAAAACTGGGGCCAGCTGTGGAGCGGCAATAATGCACTACTCAATAGAAGCCAGATTGCACATGGCAACCGTGACTCAAGTACCCAACCAGGTCAGCCTGAAACAAACCAGGCATGAACACAAGTGCCTAAGATCTGAGGGGCTGCGGGACTAAGGGAAAGTGACTGCTGCTTTAGCAGACCAGGTGGAGTGTGCCTGCCTTGCCTCCCTCCCTCTGCCCGCCTCATATGTACACACATAAAATCAACCAAAAATAAGTTTTAAAAAGAAAAAAACAGATGGGACCAGCAGTTAGCATAATGGCTATGTCTTTGGACTCCCATGTAGTCAACCGCGGTTCGAGTCCCAAACTCACGCCGGGCGCGTGTGTGCGTGCCCAAGATCCCGAGAGGAGAAAGGAGGAGAAGGGATTGCGGCGTGACCATCCCCCCTGGGGGGTGATTTCTCACTTTCTGTCTCTCTGTCTCTCTCTGTCTTTCTGGCAAGCGCACCCACCCTAGAGCTAAAAACCTCTCCAAAAAAAAAAGAAAAAAGAAAAAACTAGAAACAATATGAATGCCAATCAATAGTAAGAAGGGTAAATCAACTAGCAATATTCTCAGTCCACTCTCACTGACTGCTCAAGGTCTCTTTCAAATAGCATTTCCTTTATAAAGCCTTTCCTGATTCTTCTTTCCATGCCTATCCATTACAGATGTGGTTTTCCCTGGTATGAGAGGTTTCTCCTGCAGCACCGAGTAATCCTACAACAGCAGATTTTTGTTTACAACTACAGTAGCGTTCCTTTTATCTCATCTCTTCAATGGTAATTATTTGATGACACAAACCATATATTACACATCTTTTTTTTTTTTTTTTTTTTGGAGAGATTTTCACTGTAGGGCACGTGCACTCGCCAGACAGACAGAGAGAGACATAGAGACAGAAAGTGAGAAATCACCCCCCAGGGGGGATGGTCACGCCGCAATCCCTTCTCCTCCATTCTCCTCTCGGGATCTTGGGCACGCACGCACACACGCCCGGCGTGAGTTTTAAGCCACCAGGTCCAGGACACAAACCGTGGTCGACTACATAGGAGTCCAGCGACATAGCCATTACGCTAACTGCTGGTTCCCGACACATCTTTGAAAGAGACCTCATTGCTCCTTTCAGAGGATGGCTATTCCATTATTATTTTAAAATTGTAATAAACTGAAGACCAACTGTTACATTAGTGTTAACCAAAGAAATAAGCTCCAAGTTAATTTTTTTTAAAAAAAATCTAAGTGAGGTGAATATTTCTTTAGAGACCTTAAAAAGGTAAATTGAAAAAACACTGTAAAACTGTTTCCAAAATGAAACATTGAAGTAGAGCAAAACTGTACATCACAAGTTGTCCAACTCCTAAAGTTAAGTATGTGTTATAAAAAAAAAAAAAGTAAATTGACAATAAGGACAGTTTTCAATTTGCAAAAGCCTCCTCACCAAATCTAAGCATATAGACACATATTAAATATGTACTCACCTGAGGAATTTGTGTGCTCTTCCCACATCCTGTTTCTCCCACAATCACCACTGTCTGATAGTTTTCTATCAAGTATAAAATATGATTCCTAAGCTGCAAAGAATAGCCATACATTGTTAACAGCCACACATTGTGTCAAAAAAAAAAAAAAAACCTTAACAAAGATAAACATTGTGACATAAGCTGTTTCCAAAAGAAAGTAACTTTAAAATGTCCTTCTAACTCTTAGGTACTGTTACTGTCTATATGAGCTAACATAAATGCAATCAAGTATAATAGTTATCAAACTGTGTAAGGCACAGGGGCCATTCCCACAGCACAGTGGTTCAGTGCATAGAAAGGCGGATCCCACATGGCCAACTGTGGCTCAAATCCCAGACTCCAGGCATTTTGAAATACACACACCAGCCGTGCCTATATGAGTGCCCAAAATCCTGAAGGGATGGAGAAATAGAGGATAAAGGACTGCAAAGGAACCATGCCCCACTGGGAGGTGCTTTTTCTTTCTTTCTCTCTCTGTCTCTCTCTCTGTCTCTCTGTCTCTCTCTCTGTCTCTCTCTCTATCTCTCTCTCTGCTTGCAAAAAATAAAAGTATAATGCAAATATCATTTGATTCAAAATTTTCACTTTTAAAAAATTATACTACAAACTAATACATGGGCACAAAGGTATATATATATAAGCACACTCACAGCAGAACTGTTTCTAAAAGTCAAAAACTCAAACAGCCTGAATGTTCTTCACAGGAGATTGGTTAAACCAATTATGAGCCACTCCAATAATGGAATCTGCTCTTGTTAACAAGGACAAATGTCTATTTAGATTGATATGCCATGATCTATAAGATAAGTTATGAGATGAAAGCAAGGTGTAGAACAGTGTGAATAATGTACAAGTATTTATATTTGTATTTTCTAAAAAGGAAATACATACATGCTTATTTATGTGTAGACTATCTTTGGGGGAAAAAAAAAACCTGAAACTGGTAACAAACTCTGCTGTCCACAGGGAGGGGAAGAGAATTGAGGGAAACTCTGGTGTGAAGGAGTCTTTGAATTTGGCACATGTATGATCTCATATAAGACTTCTTCATTTGTTAAACTTGTAAAAGTCCCCCCGGGGGGTGGGGATGGGGGAAGGCTTACACTTTTACCTCTAAAGAAAAGTTTACAATAAAGCACCCACAGGTCCCACAAATATTTAAAGTGAACCTCCTTTACCCAGTGTTGGTAGGAACATTGATTTGGCCACTAAAAAAAAAAGAAAAACAGATAATTCCAAGTTTACCTACTGGTATTTAGTTTCACAATGCATTTCTGTATACATGTTGGTTACAGACATATCTGATGGTCCAGAAAGTAAAGGAGGTGTTCCATAAATGCCTAATTTGGAATGCAAGAAAAAATTACCTGATTCCTGATTTTCCCACTCTCATCACTGCTCTGCTCACCTAAGGCCACATACACAGTGAAGATTAGAAGAGCTGGGGCGCAGGGCCAGCAGTGTGGAGGTTAAGAGTGCTTAGACTCCCACATGGCCAACCACAATTTGAGTCCCGGACCAGGTGGCTTGCTTTCTTATTTCCCCTCTTGTACTCTGTCCCTCTCTAGTCAAATTATAATAAATAAATAAAACAAAGTTCAATAAAATAATTCCTTAAAAAAAAAAAAAAGAGTTGGGGTGCCGCCAATTTTTACTTAGCACATCAAGTATTCGTTGTCTGGATTTTGGAACATTATCTGGCACTATATGGATGTAGACGTGTAATTCTCAAATCAGCAAAAATCTCCTAGGATATTTGTTAGAAATGAAGACCCCTATCCTTTCCCTCAGGGTTTCTAATTCATAGGGCTAGAGTAGGGTCCAGGAATTTGTAGTATTTCTACAAGAACCCAACGGAGACTCTACTGCCAACAATCTAACGGGATGTGGCCTAAATGCTTTCTTCTTGATTGCTTGGACTCTGTGTTTTCATTGTGAGTGACGGAAAGGGAAAGATCTGGGTCCTTTGCAGGTATTTTATAAATGGCAGATCCATTGGATGAACATCTGGATGTATGAAGGGGTGGGTAAGTGGTCAAGGAAAACTTGAAAGACAACTTGAATATAAATAGACAGATAAGACATTCCAGGAAGTGGAAATAATATAAGTAAAAGAAAGAAGATAGAAATAAGCAATCCATGCAAATCCCTTTGTAGGGAGACCACACAAAGTCCACAAAGTGGACCAGACGGTGGTGTAGCAATAAAATATGATACTCTGTGGGGTTGATCCACATAGGAAGGCTCTGGTTTCAAGTCTAGAGAACTCCTTAGAGACCCATGATCTGGGGTTAGTTGGGGTACAGCATGGATCACGGTGTCAGGACCTTGTTGGGAGTACTAACTCTCTCAAAAGAAATAAACTTTATAAAGAAGGAAAGAAAAAGAAAGCCCATGAGAAGCTCAGGTTTGGTTTGAAAATGAGTTATGAGAGGTGGGCTTTCACAGGGCTTCACTGTAAAAGGCCTTGAACACAGAGCTAAAAATCTTGGATATTACCTGGGAGGCAATGTAGGCTATAATGTTTTGAAAAAATTAGACAACCATATACAAAAATGATCCAAGCTTAAAGAAACTGAAGGCAGTTAATTCCAACTTCTTGAGCTATAGGCATGAAGATCTAAGAGGCATTGCAAATGTAGAGTCAGATGTGTGTCATTTGAGAGAGATGACAAAAAGATTTCCAGTTTGGAGACTGAAAGAATGACAGAAATACCAACAGACATGGTGAAATCAAAGTCAGCCGGTTAAGAGAACAGCACTGAGCTTCAAAGAGGTGGAGTTGGTAGGACTACAAGGACACTTTGCACAACCAAGAGAGAACACCAGCCTGCAGAAGGATGCATGAGGAAGAAGGCTGTCTCACCACAATGACACTGGGGAAAGGGAATGATCCTTAAAAACCTGTTACTGCTTTTCTTCCCATTTGTTTTCTTTTATTTTGTTTTTAAGGTTTTTTTCAAGATTTTATTTTATATACAAATAGCCAGCCTGGTTTCTTTCTTTGGATGGACATCTTGGATAATTCACAGAAGATCACTTAGTCCAACTTAATGAAGCCTATGTCCTTCCTGTACAAACTGGTGACATATATTGAGGCCATATTTCTGGATCATACTCTGCCAGTTTGAACACATGCAACTAGAGTGAGAACCCTGGCCAAATTTTCACTGTTGGTTCCAATAGAGCTACTGGTACCTCCTCTTGTTCTCAGTGGAGTAATGTGGTAAAATGGACAACTTCTCTTTCTAAAGCTACTGAGATAGGAGACAAAGCCCCTAAATCTATGTTTAGAGTGTAGGACCAAACTAGAATTGCACTAAATATGTAGATTAATTTGGGTAGAACTGCCATTTTTATATTAATTCTTCTAATCCAGGAACATGGGATGGCCTTCTACTTTTTTGTGGCATTTTCAATATCTTTTTAAAGATTTTCATAGTTTTCCTTGTAAAGGTCTTTGATTTCCTTGGTTAGGTTTATCCCCAGGTATCACACATTTTGTGGCTATGGTAAAAGGGACTCTTTTCTTCAGTTCTACCTCAGTCAGCTTGCTGTTCATATACAGAATGCTACAGATTTTTGGGTATTAATTTTGTATCCTGTCACTTTACTGTATTCATGTATTACTTCAAGAAGTTTTTTCACGGATACCTTTGGGTCTACTATATGTACTATCATGTCATCTGCAAATAAAGATATTTTCAACTCTTCTTTCCCTTTTGAATACCTTTTATATTATTCTTTTTTTCTGATTGTATTGGCTAGGACTTCCAGCACTATATTGAAAAGGAGTGGAGAAAGTAGTCAGCCTTGTCTAGTACCAGTTTCTAGTGGAAAAGCTTCCAGCTTTTCTTCATTCAATATAATGTTAGCTATAGGTTTTTTATATTGGTTTTTATTGTGTTGAAAAATGACCCTTCCAGGGACCAGGGACCAGCAGGTGGCATGGTGGTTAAGGAGTTGGACACTCCCATATGGCTGACCATGGTTCGAGTCCCAGACCTGGTGGCTTGTTTTCTTACTTTCTCCTTCTCTCTCCTCTCTCCCCTCTCTTCTCTTTCTCTCTCTCTCTCTCTCTCTCTCTCTCTCTCTCCCTCTCTCCCCCTATATATGTGTGTGCGTGTGTGTGTGTGTGTGTGTGTGTGTGTGTCTCCCTCTGGTCAAATTTAAAAAGAAAATTAAATAGATAATTCTTAAAAAAAAAGAAATGACCCTTCTATGCAGATTTTACTGAGTCTTAACCATGAAGGGATGCTGTATTTTGTCAAATGCTTTTTCTGCATCGATTGAAATGATCATATGGTTTTTATCTTTGTTTCTGTTAATATGGTATATTACATTTATGGTTTTGCATATGTTGAATCATCTCTGCATCCCTGGAATAAAGTCTACCTAGTAGTGATGAATAATCTTTTTTCGATGCTGTTGGATACTGTTTGCAAGTATCTTGTTGATAATTTTTGCATCTATATTCATAAGATATTGCTCTGTAGTTTTCCTTTATTGTCATGCCTTTATCTATTTCTGTAATAAGGATGATAGAGGCTTCATAAAATGAATTTGGGAGGCTGGCAAATAGCATGGTGGGTAAGGGTGCTGAACTCCCACATGGTTGCCCACGGTTTGAGTCCCAGACCTGGCGACTTGCTTTCTCACTTTCACTCTCTCTCTTGCTCTGTCCCTCTTTGGTCAAATTAAAATAAATAAAGTTAAATAAAATAGTCATTTTTTAAGTGAATTTGGGAGGATTCCTTCCTTTTGGATCTTTAGAAATAATTTGAGTAGAATGAGGGTTAATCCTTCTTTAAAAGTTTTATAGAATTCAGAAGTGAAGCCATCAGGATGTGGGCTTTTCTTTGTACAGAGGTCATTTACTACTGATTCAATCTCCTGGCTTGTTGTGGGTCTATTCAGACTTTCTATGTCCTCCTGATTCAATCTTTGTTGATTATATGTGTCCAGAAATTTGTCCACCTCATCCAGGTTCTCCTGTTTGTTGACATATAGTCACTCATACTATCCTCTAATGATGTTTTGTATTTCTATTTTGTCTGTTGTAATATAGTCTATTTCATTGCCAATTTGATTAATCTGGTTTCTTACTCTCTTCTTAATGAGTCTAGGTAATGATGTGTCAATCTTGTTAACCTTTTCAAAGAACTAGCTTTTGCTTTCATTTTCTGTATAGTTTATTTTCTATTTCATTTATTTCTGCTCAAATCTTTATTATTTCTTTCCTTCTGTCCTTTTTTGTATTTTTTTGTTGTTGTTGTTTTTCCAATTCTCTGAGGCATGATGTTAAGTGGTCTATTTGCTACCTTTCCATCTTTTTCTTACAAGCACTAACTGCTATGAATTTCCCTCTTATGACTGCTTTTGCAGTGTCTCATAGATTACGGAAACTCATGTACTTATTATCATTTGCTTCTATAAATCTATTTATTTCTGTCTTAATTTTTTTTGATAGTTAAGAAGTCATGCAAGAGTAGGTTGTTTAGTTTCCCTGTATTTGTGTTTTTTCAAGGATTTTTCCTGAAAGTAATATCAAGTTTAATTCCATCATGGTCAGAAAAGATGCTGGATATAGTTTCTATGCCTTTGAATCTGTGAAGGCTTGATTCGTGTGCCCTATCATGATCAATCTCTGAAAAAGTTCCATGTGAGAGTGAGAAAAATGTATATTTTGTGGTTTTAGGATAGAAAGTTCCACCGATGTCTATCAAGTCCATTTGATTTATGGTTATTGTTTAGGTCCTGTATCTCTTTGCTTATTCTTTGTCTGAAAGATCTGTCTAAAGAAGATAACGTGGTGTTGAGATCCCCAATGATTACAGAGTTGCAACCTCTCCCTCCTTTTAGCTCTAGCAGTCTTTCCCTCCCATATTTGGATGCTCTTGGGTTGGGTGCATAGATATTTATGTGTTATGTCTTCTTGATGAATTAGCCCTTTAACTTTAACTAGCTACATTTAACTTTAACTAGCTAACTTTAACTTTATCTACTATATAATGCCCTTCTTTGTCTCTTCTTACAGTTTTTGTCTTAAAGCCTATTTTGTCTGAAATCAGTACCGCAACTCCAGCCCTTATTTTATTTCTGTTTGCATGAAATTTCCAGCCCTTCCATTTAGTCTATGTATGTCTTTATCCATGAGGTGCATTTCTTGTAGGCAAAAGATAGTTTTTGTTTTTTTATCCTTTCCGCCAGTCTGTCTCTCTTGATCAGAAAATTTAATCCATTAACATTCAATGTTATTATCACTATTTCCGGACTTGTTCCTGTCATTAAGTTAGTCATTTTCTTGCTTTCGTTTTGTTCTCTTATTTGTCTGCCTGACTTTAGTTTTCCTGGTATAGCATTCCCTTCAGAACATTTTTTTTTTTTTTTGGAGAGGTTTTTGCTATAGGGCACATGCGCTCACCACGAAGACAGACAGAAAGAGAGACAGAAAGGGAGAAATCACCCCCCAGGGGGGATGGCCACGCCGCAATCCCTTCTCCATTCTCCTCTCGGGATCTTGGGCACACACGCACATGCGCCCAGTGTGAGTTTAAGCCACTGGGTCTGGGACTCAAACCTCTGTCAACTACATGTGAGTTCAACGACATAGCCATTACACTAACTGCTGGTCCCCCCTTCAGAACTTTTTGAAGAGCTGGTCTAGAGTTGGTCAATTTTTTCAGGTTTTGTTTAAAGAATGGTTTTATCTTTTCTTCCCATATGAAGAATAATCTTGTCGGATATAGTAATCTTGGTTGAAATTCTTTTTCATTTAACACTTTCAATATATTTCCCCATTCTTTCCTTGCCTGCATTGTTTCTGATGAGAGGTCCAATGTTAACCAACATGATAACCTTTGTAAGTAACTTGATGCTTCTCTCTTGCCAACTTTAGGATGTTGTCTTTGTGGTTTTGGCCAATCTGCCTATGATGCACTTTGGCGATCATCTTGGGTTGATTCTATTTGGGTTTTCTGTATTTCTTGGGTCTGGATATTTGAATGCCTCTCTAGGTTTGGAAAGTTTTCTTCTAGGATTTCATGGAATAGATTACCAATGTTCTCATTATTTTCTTTACCCTCTGGGATACCAATTATCTGGACATTTGGGCCCTTAATGGTAGCTAGTAGTTCTCGTATGACCTCATCCTTCTTGGTTATTTTCTCGGTCTTTTTGATAGTTTTTTTATAGGTCAGAGGTTTTATCATCTACATCCAAAATTTGATCTTCTGCATGATCTAATCTGCTTTTAATATTTTCAAGGAAGGTTTTGATTTACTGTATTATAGTCTTCATCTCTAACAATTCCACTTGAATCTTTTTTATGGTGTCTATTTGTTCATTCAAATAATGAAAGGACTTCCTCATTCCTGGAATTCACTGTCTCTTTTCTCTTGCATCTCATTTAGTCTTGTCACGATAAATATTCGGAACTGTTTATCTGACATTTCCAGAAGCTCCATGGTATTATCTATGGATGATAAAGAATTGATGTTTTCCCTTTGGGGAGAGATATTTTCTGTTTCTCATGTTTCTTGTGCCTTTGCAATGGTTTCTAGTCATCAGGTAAATGGTAAGTTTCTTTCTAAATTCTTCAAGTTAATTCTGAGTGTTCAAAGTTGAGCAGGAGGAGGTGATCAAGTGATCTCTCTGTTGTTCTACCTCCCTGATATTCACCCAGCAACCTGCACTATTGTCTCTGGACTTGGATAATTCAAAGCCCTCCCAGTTTCTAAAGAACAGGTAGGTGCATGTGGGGCTGAGCTGCTGAGCTTCAATAGAAGAAGACAGAAAGGGTCACACACAGCATGCTTCAGGAATCAGTGAAGTCTGAGGATTCAGAGCCATGTGGCAGGGGATGAGCCACAGTCTCTGCAGCTCAGTGTCCCTGCCAGTCTGTGCAGTCAGGTCCACCACTGGTGCAGATGTCCTGATGGCATGAAGAGGGGGGACTGGAGTACTTCTCCAAGTCCCAATTAACACACCTAAGAGTTCAAAGATGTGTGGGGGATGGGATGAGCCATGCTCTGCAGCACAACCTCCCATTCACAAATGGTTCCCTATGCGAAAAAGGCCATAGCTGTCTCAATGGTGCAGGGAGCAGAGAAAGAAGAGCTTCTCCAAATCCCAATTAACACACCTGAGAGTTCAAAGGTGTGTAGAGGAAGGGATGAGCCACACTCTGCAGCACAACCTCCCAGCTGCTAATGGCTCACCATGCATTAAGGTCTGATGCTAAGGCAGATATCTCAATGGCCCAGGGAGCAGGGAAAGAAGCCTCAGTGTGATTTTCAAGTCCCAGAGTCCAGGACTTAAACCACAAAATCAGTCATGTGGGACCCAGTACCTTAACCTCCACATCATCTACTGGCCTCAATTATTACTTTTATTTTTTAACTTGTCAGAATGCATGTATGCTCACCAGAGAGAGAGACAGAGAGACACTTTTCCTTTCAGGATTTCGGGCACCCACATGTCTAGGATGTTTCTCAAGCCACTGGGTCTTGGATTTGAACTGTTTGGTCAGCCATGTGTGATCTGGATCTCCAGGCCACAGGGTTAGGCCAGAGACTTGCAAAATTTGTAAGGTTAAGTAACATACACACATCCTAGAAAGTAATTCCTGGGATAACAGTATCTACGAGCTCATTATGTGCTAAAGAATCACAAAGAGTACATGATCCTGACTAAAAACGCCTTATTTAACATACCTTGAACACAGGCAGCTTCTGCCTCTGCTGCTCTATAGAAAGGGCAGCATACGGGTTGTAAACGATGGTTGTCCCAGAGTTTTCAGTGAGGCTCTGTCTCTCTTCAGAAATGCTGACACCTGGTCCCTCTGTACCTGCAGCAGAAATCTTTATTTCAGATACTGATGCAATGAGCATAAAAATGTTACAAATTTTCAAAGATAAAGATATATAAGAGAAGTGATACATTTTATCTCAAACTACTAAAAAGTAATAAACTTTAACTTTAGGGAAGTATCTAGAAAAGAGCTGTCAAAATCAAAATTCTTCCCTAAAAGCTTCACTGCAGAGGTAGGAACAAAAGAGATGACTCAGTAGGTTCCAAATCGGCCACCCAGTACCATATATTACAGAGAACAGTGTCCTTCAGTTCTGGCATTCATGCCTATTATCACCATTTTTTTTTTTTCTCCAGAGACAGACAGAGAAAATGATGAGGGGAAAAAACAACTCCCAAGGGGGTATGGTCAGGCTGCGATCCCTTTTCCTCCATTTCTCTATCCTTTGGGGATTAGGATATATATGCACATATATGCAGTGTGATTTTCAAGCTACTAGGGCCAGGATTTGAACTGCATGGTCAGTCATGTGGGATTTGGCTCCCTTAACCAGCAAGCCACAGGGCTGACCCTATCACTGAATTCTTTAACACAAATGAAAGAAAGCCAATGAGAATTAGCTAAAGTAATAAAAGGATCCTGTTACTCTAAGATGGCAACAAGTCACAGAGACAACAGGAACTGGGGAATCACAGGTTGCCTCACTTGCTCCCTCTCATCTCTATCTCTGGACAAGTTCCTTTCGGTCTTTTAGGTTGACTTTTCCAGAGGAACTAGAAAAAAGGCTGCCAACAGAGTCAGAGCTCAAGCTAATAACACCTCTGGCGATCATGCACTCACTCACCCAGACTGAGCCTGCTCTGCCAGGCACTGCTCTGGGTACTAGAAATACAGTGGTGAGTGGTGCAGATGCAGGTCCTCCCCTCACGGAGCTTGTTCGCTTCTTTCATTTGTCCTCCAGTAGAACAGAACAGGGAACTGCACGGAGTGGCAGTAAGTGCTATGCAGAGAAAGAAACACTGAGAGGAGGGACAGGGGAGTTCCAGTTGTGTAGGAGTAGGGGCCAGGGTAGAAGAGGCGTTTACACTGGACAGTTGGCAACTGACTTCTCCCAGCTTTGCTCCAATGCCTGCCCTGATCCAGTCAACCCCAGCCAGTTAGTGGGAGGCAGTGAATGGCAGCTCTCATTTGACCCAGAGTTGAAGGGTTAGGTGGGAAATGCGGTTCCCAGAAACCTGTGCTGAGCAGATTAAACCACAGACAGCCACCACAGCTTCTTGCCAACAATGACAACTGGTGCTCAGGACAGGGGAGAATGAGAAACCCATTCCCCATTATGTAAAACTTCTGAAGGTGCTGTGAATTTTCAGCCTGAAAAGAAAAAAGCCTTAGGAGGAACAAATTTTATGACTGGCTTCTGAAACTTGATGCTGATTTGTTTGTGTAGACTGAGGAAGAATGAGGAATGAGAGGTGAATGACTCAAGGTCCAGAGTTCAACACAATATAAAGATATTTCTACAGGGCAGTGCTGCTCAGTGCTGGTGTATGCTGCCTGATGAATCAATAAAAACCCTCCCTAGAAGTGCAAACACGTGCGGCACGGCCTCCTAACAGGGCACTTCAGGATTAATACCAAAAATACCTTCCCGGGTGTTCAGAACACAGAAGCTGTGACGCTATGTAAAAACATGACGGCTTTGCAACAAGAGTACTGATTAGCCTGGCCATTTCTACACTTGGGATGAGGAGGTGTCCCAGATTCCCTGAACAGTCTGATAAAGGCTCTAACTCCCTCTCTTGTAAAACACACCAGAATATAAATTACCAGAATATTACATGGCAAGGGTCCACAGACAGCCCAGAGCTAAGCTCAGAATCACTGTTTCAGCTCTCTGATCCTTTCCCACTTTACTTCCAGGAACAGTCGCGTTCCAGAGGCTCCAGGATTGCCAAAAGTCAGGTAAGTGGGTCACTGCAGTGTTGCTTTTGCCAAAATGTTGACCTTCCTTTCAACAAGATAAAAGATAGAACATGACCTGGAACAGAGCCTGTGCTCAAAGAAGTCTTCTTTTCCTTTCTTCTGTATATTATCACTACATCTTAATAACTCCCTGTAATCTTTAAGAAAACTACTGCATAGAACACCTTATCCTATTCTGCTGTTTGTCGTGAATTTTCTTCTTTTCAAAACATGTTTTAAAACACATGTCTGGGAGCCGGCAGGTTGCATGTTGGTTAGGGTGCTGGACTCCCACATGGCCGACTTGGTTCGAGTCCCGGACTGGTGGCTTGCTTTCTCCCTTTCCCTCTCTCTTTACCTCTCTCTGTTCCTCTCTGGTCAAATTAAAATAAAGCTAAAATAAAAGATAATTCTTTTTCAAGAAACAAACAAACACATGTCACATTATGCCTGGAATTTTTTTTTAACGTTTTTTTTCCAGGTTTTTGCCTTAGGGCATGTGCGCTCCCCAGAGAGAAAGATAGTGAGAGAGAAAGTGAGAAATCACCCCCTGGGGGATGGTCACACCTCAATCCCTTCTCCTCCATTCTCCTCCTGTGATTTTGGATCACACGCGCGCGCGCACACACACACACAGGTGCCCAGCACAATTTTCAAACCACTGGGTCCGGGACTCAAACTGTGGTAAGCCATGTGGGAATCTAGTGCCTCAACCACCACACCACCTGCTGACTCCTACGTCTGGAACATTTTAACACTGCTCCTGCATAGTCTCTCTCTCTCTCTCTCTCTCTCTCTCTCTTTTACGAATTATTTCATTGTATTTATCATTATTACTATTTAATTTGCCACAGGACACACACACTCACCGGAGAGAGACAGTGGAGTGGGAGGGGAGGTGAAAAAACAAGCTGCCAGGTCCAGGACTCGAACCATGGGCAGCCATGTAGGAGCCCAGTGCCTTCACCACTAAGCCACCTGCTCGTCCCCTTGCATTGTCTCTTACTTCCTCCCACACCAGGCCTTAATCCACCCTATGTGTCTTCATCCCTATCCCATTCCTCCCTCATCTCTAACCAATAGCTCTGTTGATTTCAGTAAATTCTGTTATGGGCTCTTTTATAAAAGCTGCTGTCAATCAATTCAGAGCATATCTTCTCCTTATGAAAGATTTCATTCAGGATCAACCCTGTGCCTAGTGGTTAACGGAGCCAAATCCAACACGGAAGACTGAATGGTTCTAATCCCAGCCCCAGCAGCTTGAAAAATATTCCAGGCACGTGTGCATGTGTGTCCCAAATCCCAACAGAATGGAGAAATAGAAGAGAAGGAATTGCAGCATGACCACGTTCCACTGAAGGGAAGAGAGGGGTGATTTTTCACTCTCCCTCTCTGGCCAGTACATGTGTTCTCTGGCAAATTGAAAAAGAAAAAAAAAAAAAAAAGACTGCATTCAGCTAAACTAGAACATCAAAGCTGCTCTCTCTCTACACACATTCCATTGTCCACTCTGGTGCTTATGGTTGTTTCTTCCTTGAGTGTATACAATTTTTGTAAACAATAAACACCTTTATTTCTCCAGTGATGATAGAACCCCCCAACCCAGCTTTTCTTTTAAACCAAATTTTTCAAAATTTGAGGGGTGGCCCATTCGTGAGTTATGAAATCAATGTGGTGTTCATACCCAGCATTTTAAATAATGAATTAGAGAAAGAATGCAAGGTATCAGAGCTTATCCCAGAAAGCAATATTATTTTTATACAACTGTTTTTGGTTGTGTAGGAGTGTTAGTTCACTACTCATGTCTTACTGTAAGTCAGGTAGTTTCAAAGCTGTTGCTATAAAGTATTTGCCAGTTTCATAGTGAGAAATCATTCCATTTTATTATATATATATATATATTCAAAATGGCCACACTCTTCTGATCCATGTGTGCTACCAAGTTAAGGGAAACTTTTTTATACAAAAATCGCAGGCAGGTCATACAAAGTTCTTAAAACAGACCCCTAAGAGAGATCATGAACCAGTGGTTCAAATACATAGACGTGCTATCATTTAAATTTTTAAATCGTTCATTTAAAACAACACTATCAATTTCTCATTTGAATTTAGATATTGGATTTCTAAAAAAACGGATAAGAAAGATAGATAGATCTGACAACTCTGAGCACAAGTAGCTTCCTACTTTAGATGGTATATGCGAGCTCCAGTGTTTACACTTTAAGTATCCTTCTAGTATCTCTAGTTCACAATAGTCTACAACGCTCCCTATTACTTCCGCCCAGCAGCTTCATTCATTTAGACTGAGAAGTCCCTGTAGTTCCCTGAGCCTGCAACTCCTAGCCTACATTCCGATGTCCAGCCTTACACCCAGCCTTACACCCGGCCTCAACCACCTGCTTGACCTTTACTTTGCATCTCCTACAAGTAAGAGTACCACCTCCATCAGAGATGTGACTGCTTAACAAGATGCTACATTAGCGGGGCCAGCAGCAATGGCACAGTGGTAACGCAACATTCTATGATGCTGGACCTCCATGAGAAGATCCTGGGTTTGCATTCCTCTGTATTTCCAGTGCACACACACACACACACACACACACACACACACACACATGCCCATCTGGGCTGGTGCAGGCTGGGGACTGACTGCAGCATGAGGACTCTGTTAGGGGAAAGGGGTCTATCTCTATTCCTCTCCATCTCTTTGTCTCTCTCAAAACAAATAAGCTTAAAAAAAAAAAAAAGATACTAAAGGGGAAACTGAGTAGGACAAAGTAAACACCCAACATGTGATACTCAGTCTATTCCCATCTCAGTTAATGACATTTCACCTAGTCCAGTGGCTCCTAAGCTGGAATCACTAGGAAACCTTAAAAAGTACTGACACTTTGCTCCTTGACCTCCAGACTTCAGATTTATTATGCAAGTAGACATCTGGATATTTTAAAGCTTCCCAACTCATTCAACTATACAGTAAAATTTGAGAACCACGTACCTAGACAGTCACGTGAGAAACATGAGTCGTTACTGACTTCCCTTTTTCTCACACCTGCCTCTGAAATGTCTCTCCC